TACTACCGAACGGCTCGTGCACTTGCGAGTATCACAAGTTGAGGATGCAGCTGAATCCATTTTGGTGCAGCTGTATCTACGCAACAGCGACGGCGACCTCACTCTCTCTCTTTCGGCTGCTGTTCTCCACCTCCATCTCTCACCCTCTGTCACCTATTTCAAGCGCCGTTCTTCCCCTCCGGTTCAACAAATTTCTCAATTTTCTTCAGCATTCCTGAAATCCATATACCTAGAGATGACGTCCCAGGTACCCAGCTTAGCTTTTCGCCTTTACTTTCATACCCATATGTTATTTGGGTTTTCTTCTGCTTGGTTCAATTTCATATAGTGGTCTAGAAAGTTGCTTAAAATCCAAATTCTTGGTACATCGTTTTATTTATCATGCTTATTTGCTTGTTCTGAATATATGGTTCTATTTGTTTGGTTAGGCTGAGTTGATGAGTGCATGAAAAAAATGGCCTGCAGGTGTTCGATGAATCACCTTAATGAGCGCACTTTGGTTTTCTTTGAGATACAAACCAATTGGGACAATATATACTTAAAGGTAAACTTCTAGGAGGACCCAATGAACCCATCTAAATGGAAGGAAGAACATGTGAGTTTTATTATAATTTGTTTACGAAGATGTCTTTACAGTGCATAATGGTTTTGTTAGATCACTGTTGACATTAGTTTGATTACCTTTTAACGATGCTTGAGAAATGTCCCTGTTTTTACATGAAGACTTACACAAGTGCCATATTATGTCAGTTTATAGTGAATGGATACTTGGTTGTGCCATTTGATATTTGGAATTCTATTAGATTTATTTTCTTATTTTTCAACTTTTGTGTCATGTCTTGAGTTTCTTTTGTTTCGACGCTGCCATTTAACTTGTGCTGTGAACAAGTTAATACTACACTGTTTTGTGTCATTGTGAAATTGAGAAATAAAGTTCATGTTGTTATTTTGCAGGAATTCTAAGGGCTATGTTATGGCAAAAAAGTATGTGAGCAAACAAAAGAAACATAGAAAGGGTCTGATGCTGCTGCTTCGCATGGCCAGGTTTTGTTGCTGCTTCCTCTTCCTCATTTACCTAAAAGAAATGGTCTATATCTCTAGCTTTTGCATTTGCATCCAAATGTCCCTTGCCATGCCCTGCCCTACCCTGCCCTTCAGTACTAGCTGGCACTACTACCTCTATTGTATGTGGTCCCCTGATTTGATTTCTTTGAGCCATGTGATGCTTTCAACTCCCTAGAGCCAATTCCAATGGCTATTTTTTATTAAGTCATAATTTACTGCCTATAATTAGGACCTGCGGTTTGAAGTTATTAATTTGGAACAATTCATGTATGCTGTTAAAACATAAATGGTGCAAAGCCAATGCCGAGAATAGAAAAAAAATAAGCAATATGATCATACGGGGGTTAACGTCCATGTAGATGTGCGCTGATCAAGCTTGAGCAGTAAGGCCTTTCGTCTTGTGCTTGGTAGGGTTGCTTTTCCTCGTCCATCAGATGTTTTCCAATTCTGAGGTGATATGATACTCTTCCTCTTGGCATTATTCTCATGGCTGTGAAATTTCAGTTTGCAATGAATGGCTATATCAATCTAAAAGATTATTTTTGTGTAGAAATCAAATGAATGTAAATTGTACTGCATACCTTCGTGGTGTCTATGTTCTAGAGTTAATGTTGTTGATCAATGATCAGCCTCTTTCATAATTCTTTCATTGATTAATATTGTTGTTCTCTCATTGTTCTGGAGTTAACTTGATTGAGTTGTCATGCACTGCTTGAAATTTTGGATACCATGTGAGTTATAAGTTGCAAATGAAGCACAGACGAAAAACAATGAACTCTATTTTTATAAGAAACTTAGTCTGCTTTGAGTTTAAGTTTGTCTTTTCTTGATACGTAAGTAGGAGATTTTAAATTGTATGAGATTGTGCTTTTGCGCATCTGCATATATAGCAATAAAAGGAAAGTGATGGTTCCAATAGAACAGATCAAAGATCTACCTCATTAATACCAATTTATCTTTTGTATTACTCTGTATATACATATTTATATATGCACATATTGATATTGCTTTATTTTGTTTCTGTTGTAGAGGAAGATAATGGATGAATTTGATAAGGTGAAGCAACAATTCTAGAAGATTGTTGTCATTGAGAACCTTCATCAATTTGGGGTGGGACAAGTGTATTGTAGTTATAAGGAAAAAAAAACATGTAATTGAGGGACTATTTGTGTATCAGACAGACCATGTAATTATTTAGTCCTCATGGAATGATATTGAGTTCAATTTACATGAGAAATTTCAGTCTTGAATCTGTTGTTTTTATATATTCGCAAGTGTATGCAATGGAAAAATACTTTTAATTTATATTATACATTGAAGAGAGCACATTATATACATTATGTGTATATATAGCTCATTCTTCTTGCCTTTGTTGGCAATGGGTCGAATCGGGGGTGGGTATGCCATTCCCATCCCCATCCCCGTGAAGCTTTTTTCCCCCATCCCCACCTTCATACCCTCAATACAAACTTGAAAAAAAAAAAAGATATACGAGGGAAATACGGTAGCAATACACAAGCAATAAAGGGCTATATAATGGCAATACACAAACTCCATACTCCCCCCTACAAATTTATTCCAACACTGACTTGCCTTTGTTATTAAGTATTTGCTTGTCTTGAGTGTTTACTACTGAAAGATAACCATCAAAGGATTCTTTGAAGAATTATGAAAGGCATTTCATTAGAGAATATTGATAGAAAACCTTGTAAAGTTGACGTTTCACTAAACAATACTGATGCATTTGTTGTCCCTAGTATCTGTGTGCAATAGTTTGATGGTGCTCCTTTGCTTTGCTAATTGTAGGAACCCTCGGAGACTTTGCATGGTGATATGGTTGCTCCTAGTATATCTGCAGCAGGTAGTTTTCAGAAAAAGTTAACCAATCAAGTTCCAAATAATGAAGGTAGTGAATCTAGTGAAAATTATATGACAGATGAACAGAGAGAACGAATGAAAGCTAGCAGATTTAAGGTCCTTGAGAAAGATGCAGCTAGGCGCCGCCAATTGCAGGTGGCTTGAGGTTCTGTTTTTCTTCTGTCGTGTTCTAAATTATGTTTCATTGTGTTGAGCTGTGGATGGCAATTGAACTCATGGATATAGGCATCAAGGCAGAACGTTCTGTCTTGATATTCTTTCTTTGTACGACAAAGTTTTTTTGTCATATTTACACAACTCGATCTCTTTAATAGTTGATCCATTAACAATAGTTACATGTGGGTTCTTAATTTGATGTAACAGTTTATTTGCAATTGCATACCCGAATATGTAATTGCATACATTTTATGCAATAATTAATCCCCCTAAAACCAAAAGAAAGGTTGAATGCAATTTCATACAATAAACTAAGAATTGCACATAAAGGTTACGAAATTGCATACTATGCAATAATTGGATATTGTAAACTGAGAATTGCACACATGCCATATCAAATTGCATAGGTATATGCAATTGCATGACACTACGAAAAATAACTACAGTTGCAAGTTCAACAATGTTTTAGGTTTTCAATTTACCCCATAACCTTTTTTTTTTTTTTCAGAAAATTAAGGATATGAATTTTTCTTTTTCATCAATGTCCCCTTGTCGTCTAATCTAACATTTCATCCAATTTACCGTTAAATATGAGGGCAAATTGGTTATTTCATAAGTTAAAAATAATTAAATGATTAAAATAAAATAATATGAAAGGATGTTAAATATATGCCCTAAAGCCAAATATGTGATGTTAATTTCTGGATATTTCACCATCATTTATGGGCAAAATCGTTGTTTTCAACTATAATATGTAGTCTATAATTATAACAGTAAAATAACAAGTCCTTGAAATATGATTAGTATGAGGGCTATTAAATGAGATTGGATATAAGAAGACCTCTCATATTTTCACATAATGGTTGATGTTTGTATATCCGGGATGGAGATCAGTGTCTTGGGTTGCCATTACCATTTCGAAGCTTTTATTGGCAAATCTGTAAGTGTATGGTTCTAATGGGATGTTCATGATTGGTATTGGTTGCTGTGATTGCCGTAACTGCTATATATTGGTTGCTCTGGCTAAGGATTCAGGAAAAGTGCAGTTAAGAAAAGTGCATTTTTGTTACACTGAAATATGTGTTTTAAGATACCATCAAAGTGTTTAAATAATCTCTCTCTACCTCCCTCTCATTTGTAGGAAGGTGTATGCTTACTTGGACTTTTCATGCATACTGTGAGATTCTCACCTTCTTCTGAGAGTCTAATATTTAGGGGCTAGCATTTGTGTACTCTACAAGTTATAAATTGAGCTAAACGTATTACAAAATATTTTAGGTGAAGTGTTTTCTTTGTTTCTGTTTCTTTTTTGAGATCTTATTTCTTATTTATGTGACATGCAGTCTTGGTTAGAGAAAATAGAAGATATCACATTTAATTTTCTATAGCTTTTAGGTAGTAGTAGATTATCCATATTGTCATGCAAATGAACACACACAAAAAAGAGGCCCTCTAACCAAAAAGAGGAAATTTGGTGATCTTTGCATACATTATAAGAGTGTGAGCCAATGAGCCTTCAAGTAAAAACGAAAAAAAGTTAAAAACCAAAAGAAGGGCGGAATGCAATTGCATATTGTAAACTAAAAATTGCGTTTTATGAAATTGCATACATATATATGCAATTGCATATTGTAAAATGAGAATTGCACATAGAAGCTACGAAATTGCATACAAGTATATACATATGCATATTGTAAACTAAGAATTGCACAGATGTGCTATCAAATATGCGATATATGCCCACAAATACCATTAAACATGGCTAAATTGTTGATTTAGTCCTTGAACTTGTACTCAATTTTAAATTTATCTCATGACCTTTTTTTTTATTTATAAAATTAAGGATATGAATTTGTCTTTATCGCCAATGTCTCCCCTACCGTTTAATTCCCTAACATTTCGTCCAATATGTCATTAAATATGAGGACAAATTGGTCATTTCATACGTTAAAAATAATTGAATTATGTAAAATAAAATAATATGAAAGGATGTTAAATATATACTAGAAAGCCAAACATGTGATGTTGCTTTCTTTTCTGGATATTTCACTATCATTTATGGGCAAAATCGTTGTTTTCAACTATGATATTTAGTCTACAATCATAACAGCACAACAATCCTTGGAATATGATTCATATGAGGGCTATGCAATGAGATTGAATATAAGAAGACTTCTCATACTTCCACTTCATTTCCTAAACATTCATGGTTATATGATTATCAATTGGGCATTGATCATAATTTTAAAAAAAAGTCCAATTTTCTTTTTCATCAATTCAATGTGGCTCAATCAATCGACCATTAAGTAATAATTTTTGTTGAGAGTTTTTAAATTTATATTTGTATCAACAATCATATGTTTGATATTATTGATTTTTTTTAATTAACAATATAGTAATAATTGGAGATAATCAACAAAGTTCAATTTTATTCTCAATAGTTCATTGGGTTAAATTAGTAGTAAATCACGAAAGTTATATTGAGTAATTTATGACAACAAACCACCTAATGAACGCTAAGAGTCTTGTTCATTGGGTAACTGATGTTGTCCATTGACCAAATTACCCAACCAACTCCATGATTTACTCAACAAACAAGGTATTGTATTCGTTGAGTAAAGTTCGTCGTTCCTTGAGAAATTGGACCAACTAAAATACTTTATCAAACAAATGCGCTATTTTTTCACTCGAACGCAAGGGGGTGCGTTCGTTAAATAAAGTTGGCCGTTCCTCTGGAAATTGGACCCAACTAACTTACTTTTTCAAACAAACGACTATTTGTTCACGCTAATGCAGGGGTTGCATTCGTTGAGTAAAGTTGCCCGTTCTCAGGAAAAATGAGCCCAACTAACTTATTTTTTCAAACAAACGGGCTATTTGAAATTGGTACTTAGGTGACGAGGGGTAAATTTTACAACACTCAAACAAAATGCAACAATCTTCACACACTTTCGACCTTGACCAAATACACTTATGACTAGTCAACTGCTAGTCATGAACAACCACAATCAAGAATACACACAGAGCATGCCATAATGTACCTGCAACCCTAGAAAATTACTAGTGACAACCTATGCACTCAGAAGGACCCGTCAATCTAGACATCCCATGTGCTAGCAACAACTATGATGAAAGTGTCTGAAAATATCATAATCAAGTAAACACCAAACAGCAGATACTGATGACTAGTCAACCACCAAGAACACACCTACATAAGTTATTCTTAATCTAAACTTGAGGTTGATAAAAACTATAAAAATTCTATTACAAAATTGTCAGGGAAGCCAAAAGAAATATTCAAAATGCATACATTAACACTATTTGTTCACGCGAACGCAATGGGTTGCGTTTGTTGAGTAAAGTTGCCCGTTCCCCGGAAAAATGGGCTCAACTAACTTAATTTTTTAAACAAACGGGCTATTTGTTCCGCGATTGCAAGGGGTTGTATTCGTTGAGTAAAGTTGCCCATTCCCCGGAAAATGGACCCAACTAAATTATTTTTTCAAACAAACGGGCTATTTGTTCATGCTAACGCAGGGGTTGCGTTTGTTGAGTAAAGTTGCCCGTTCCCTGGAAAAATGGACTCAACTGACTTACTTTTTCAAACATACATTAACACTATTTGTTCACATGAACACAGGGGGTTGCGTTTGTTGAGTAAAGTTGCCCGTTCCCTGGAAAAATGGACCCAAACTTACTTTTCCAAACAAACAGGCTATTTGTTCATGCGGACGCAGAGGTTGCATTCGTTGAGTAAGGTTGCCCTTTCCATGGAAAAATGGGCTCAACTAACTTACTTTTTTCAAACAAACGGGCTATTTGTTCTGCAATTGCAAGGGGTTGCATTCGTTGAGTAGATTTGCCCATTCCCCGAAAAAATGGAGCCAACTAAATTAATTTTTCAAACAAACGGGCTATTTGTTCACGTGAACGCAGGGGTTACGTTTGTTGAGTAAAGTTGCCCGTTCCTCAGAAAAATGAACTCAACTGACTTACTTTTTCAAACAAACAAGCTATTTGTTCACACGAATGCAGGGGTTGCGTTCGTTGAGTAAAGTTGTCTGTTCCCTGGAAAAATGGACCCAAACTTACTTTTTCAAACAAACGGGCTATTTGTTCATGTGAACGCGGAGGTTGCATTCGTTGAGTAAAGTTGCCCGCTCCATGGAAAAATGGGCTCAACTAACTTACTTTTTCAAACAAACGGGCTATTTGTTCTGCGATTGCAAGGGGTTGCGTTCGTTGAGTGAAGTTGCCCGTTCCCCTAAAAAATGGACCTAACTAACTTACTTTTTCAAACAAATGGGCTGTTTGTTCACACGAATGCAGGGGTTGCATTCGTTGAGTAAAGTTACCTGTTCCTCGGAAAAATGGGTCCAACTAACATACTTTTTCAAATAAACAGGCTATTTGTTCCGCAATTGCAAGGGGTTGCGTTCGTTGAGTAAAGTTGCCCATTCCCCAAAAAAATGGGTCCAACTAACTTACTTTTTCAAACAAATGGGGATTTTGTTCATGCGAACCCAAGGAGTTGCGTTCGTTTAGTAAAGTTGTCCGTTTCCCGAAAAAATGGACCCAACTAACTTACTTTTTCAAACAAATGGGCTGATTGTTCACGCAAACGCAAAGGTTGCATTTGTTGAGTAAAGTTACCTGTTCCTCGGAAGAATGAGCCCAACTAACTTACTTTTTCAAACAAACGAGCTATTTGTTCACACGAACGCAAGGAGTTGCGTTCGTTGAGTAAAGTTGCATGTTCCCTGGAAAAATGAACCAAACTAACTTACTTTTTCAAACAAACAGGCTATTTGTTCACGCGAACGTTCAGTAAATGTTCGGTAAGAAAAAAAAGAGTTCACGAGAAATAAGAAGACATGAAATATATATATATATATATATATGAAATAAGAAGACATGAAATATATATATATATATATATATATATATATATATATTTGTTTTAAGTCGAAGAGATACCTATGTGCACCATATATGGGAGCTCAAGAGATACCTATGTGCACCATGTTCAAACATGGCTTACAAACTACTCGGGTTACATGACTTGGTATGACTATTGT